GTTTGGGAATTGGTGCCAAGACCCGATGATCGTACGGTTATTGGTACGAAATGGGTGTTCCGTAACAAACTTGATGAAAATGGAATAATCACTAGAAACAAAGCTAGGCTCGTAGCTAAAGGCTACAATCAAGAAGAAGGCATTGATTTCGAAGAAACTTATGCACCCGTAGCACGTTTAGAAGCTATTCGTTTACTTCTTGCTTTTGCTTCGTCTATGGATTTTAAACTTTATCAAATGGATGTTAAGAGTGCCTTCCTCAATGGTTTTATTCAAGAGGAAGTGTATGTTGACCAGCCCCCGGGGTTTGAAGACTTTGAGTTTCCCGACCATGTCTTCAAACTCAAGAAAGCGCTCTACTGTCTTAAACAAGCACCCCGTGCTTGGTACGAACGTTTGAGTAAATTTATTTTGGATAGTGGTTTCCAAAGGGGAAAGGTTGACACTACACTTTTTATCAAGAGTAAAAACAATAACATCCTTTTGGTTCAAGTTTATGTAGACGATATTATATTCGGTGCTACTAATGAGTATTTGTGCAAGGAATTCTCAACGTTAATGACAAGCGAATTTGAGATGTCCATGATGGGTGAGCTTACATTCTTTTTGGGACTCCAAGTCAAGCAAATGAAAGATGGCACGCTCATTTGCCAAACCAAATATTGCAATTGCAAGGAGCTCCTAAAACGATTCGAAATGGACAACGCCAAAGCCATGGTGATCCCGATGAGCACGTCCGACCATTTAGACAAAGACAAAAAGGGTAAGGAAGTAGAAGTCAAAAAGTATCGAGGTTTGATCGGATCCCTTCTCTATCTTACCGCTAGTAGGCCGGATATCATGTTTAGCGTATGCCTTTGCGCAAGGTATCAATCATGCCCGAAGGAATCGCACTTAACGGCGGTGAAACGGATCATGAAATACCTTGTTGGCACGGTTAACGTTGGACTGTGGTATCTAAAAGGCTCTTCGTGTCATCTCGTTGGGTATTCCGACTCGGACTTTGCCGGTTGCAAATTGGACCGTAAAAGTACGAGTGGGACTTGCCACTTACTTGGTAGCTCTTTAGTTTCATGGTTTAGCAAGAAACAAGTCAGTGTTGCGTTATCCACAACCAAAGCGGAATACGTTGCCGCCGGTAGTTGTTGTGCTCAAATCCTTTGGATGAAGCAACAACTCGTGGATTATGGCCTTAGTATCAGTCACGTTCCACTCCGTTGTGATAATACTAGCGCCATAAGCTTGACGAAGAACCCCGTTCTTCATTCAAGGACGAAACACATTGACATTAGGCACCATTTCATTAGAGATCATGTTCTCAAAGGTGATGTTGAAATTGAGTTTGTTGAAACACACAACCAATTAGCCGACATTTTCACAAGACCTTTAGAGAAAGAGTCGTTCTTCCGCATTTGTAGCGAACTCGGAATCCTTGACTCCACGATGATCTAATTTGTGCATTTTATCACTCTTTTATCTTTGATTAAACATTTCCTAACTTGAGCATCGGAGGGTTTTCTAACTCTTTTTTGCAGGGACGGTTCGAGGTGAAGGAATCCGAAAGTCAGTTAGGGGGAACCAGCGATGGGTGGGTTATACCATCGCTGGGAGGGAAGTCTTCTCTTTTCCAGAACCCCTCTCCCCATCGATGGGTACTTTCTCCCATCGATGGGTAATTGACTCTTTTTTTAAAAATTTTTTTAACGGATTTCCAGAAACCCTTTACCCATCGATGGGTATTTTATCCCATCGCTGGGTGAATGACTTGTGTTTTTAAAATTTTTTCCAGAACCTCCCCACCCATCGATGGGTACTTCCTCCCATCGCTGGGTGTTTGACACTTTTTTAAAAAAAAAAAAATTTATCGGATTCTCAACCCAGCGATGGGATGGTATTAACATCGCTGGGAAAGCTTTTGTCAGATAATCCTCTCTTTCCAAAATCCACCTTCCCATCGATGGGAGAATCCACACATCGCTGGGAAGGCAATTTTGATTTTCTTCTCGCTTTCCAGTAGCGACCCTCCCATCGATGGGTAGTTCCTACCATCGCTGGGAAGGCTGTTGAAATTCAAAAATTATGGCCGTTGGGCACCGAATTTAATGCCCAACAGCCATATTTTTTGAATTCACACGGTTTCCTCCTTCTCTCCCTATATATTCTCATCATCCTTGACATTCTAAACACACCATTAACATCATAATTTCATTCCTTTAGCCTATTCTTCATATTTCATCAATCATTCTCCACAAACGCCTCAATCATGGCCAGAGGAAAATCAAAGAGCAAGGCATCCAAGAAAAAGGTCACCGCTGAAGCCTCAAGCTCTGCACTGCCGTCGTTCCCCTACCTCGACGGATCTTTCTTGGAGTTCGGGTCGGAGGAGGAACTCACCCGGTTTCTCACATACTTCGCCAAGCGCCCGATCTCTCCGCCCCGCGTGCTCCCGGAGCTGTTTCCCCAACAAAAGGGGTACCACGACCTTGACAATCAACTCAAGGAGTCGGGTTTGTGGCCCTTCGTCTCCAAGAGCCGCACCTCCTACAATCCCGCTTTCGTTCGGGCATTCTACTCAAATCTGCGCCGTGACTAGGACATCATTCGCAGCAGCATCAATCTCTACAACATAGAGATTGATTTGCCTACTTTTGCTCGGGTCGCAGGGCTGCCCATCCGCGGTGACAACATCGCGACGTACGGTGGCGACGACTGGATCCTCAACAACGAGGCGGTCGTCATTCGCAAGCTTGGGATCACCAACTTGATCCGCCACAGCGGCGCGCCGACGATTCACTCGGCCCCACCAGACAAGCGCCTCCTCCTCTACATCATCACCCGGATTCTTCGCCCCCGGGATAGCAGCCATACCTCGCTCTTCAACGAGGATTTGAAGGCGATCCATGCCATCATCCACGGCGCCTCCATCAACTGGGCGAAATTTGTCATGATTCACATGGCGGATTGCGCCTCCATCGCCAACGAGCGGAGCCTGCCGTACGCCTTCCTCGTTATGGATCTCTTTATCGCCTCCGACATCCACATCGCCGGACCGGATACGAAGATGACGAAGATTTGGATCATCCAAGATAGCACCTTCCGGAAGAAGTCCGGAGACCAAGACGGCGCCAGACCGAGTCGTGCCCGTGCCCCAGCCCGTGCCCCTGTCCCCGCTCCCGCCCGGGCCTCGTTGCAGTCCATAGCCGATACCCTGAATCGGCTAACCCTCACGGTGGACGACATGGGGCAGTACATGGAGCGGATGAATTGGACGCTGCAACGTCAACACCATGACATGACGGCGTTCTTCCGCGGCATCAACTACGTCCCGCCGCCCTTTGACAGCACCATCCTCGGCCAAAACTTTGAGGGCAAGGGTGAGGACGACGACTCCTACGCTCCGTCCTCCTCTCCTGACGAGGCCGACTTTGAGGACGCAGTCGACGGCGATCCCATGGACGTCGAGGACGACGAGGATGACGATGACGACGAGAACAAGGACGCCGATGCCTAGACTCTTCATTTCTTCCCTTTCCTTACTATGATTGTTTTTGTTATTTCCATCCCGTTGTATTCCGCATTTCCCTTTCTTTTAATGAATAAAAGTTTACTTTTAAAATTCTAAAGTTTACTTTCAATTCTTTTTGTTAATGTCAAAAGGGGGAAGATATCAAGGTTATGCATAAATTGAGGGGGAATTTTTTCTTTGTTAAAAATAAAATGGCATCTATTAAGGGGGAACATTTTTTTTAATTCTCAAAATAATCCTCCTATGCATAACCTCGTCTCGTTTGCCATTATCAAAAAGGGGGAAATTGTTGAAACACGGGCTTGTCACGTTTTCGTACTAAAGCCGTGTTTGTTTTTATGACAGGTTTTGATAATGCCAAACCGCCGTGATCGAGTAAAACATTGAACATACAAGGCGAAGAACGAAGATGAGAACAAGAGCCAAAAGAAGACCAAGAACGAAGACCATAGTCTTAGTGTCGATGAGTCGGTCTTCATTGTGATCAAGACCGACCCAATCTTTACACCTTGGCTCTTTAGGCTAAAATCTTTCATTGCATTTCTTAAATCATAAAAGTGTTTTTCAAGCTTGTTTAAATCATTAAAAACACTTGGTGTTCGCCCAAACCAAAAATCAAGCCACCTAGTGTTCGGCTTTCAGAAACCAACGTTCGGCTTTCGGTTATTGGCATTGGTTTTTGGCATCCGAACCAACCAAGTGTTTTTCATCATTTTATGACTGGTTTTAACTCTTTGGCATGTTTAATCGGTTCTCCCAAAAAAACACTTTGAAAACCATCTTTCATTTTTGGTCGTTTGACAAAAACCACGCAAAACGGCGTAAACTTGGCTAGCCATGGTTTTTACTCAAATGACGTGGTTTTTAAAGTAACTCACTTGATTTCTTAGCCAAATACATAAAATAAGTGTTTCAAACACTTGGCTTTTATTTTGGAGAACTTTGGATTTTTTGGTCGATTTTTGCATCGGTTGGCTAGGCCGTGGTTAAGGCAAAGACCATGGGTTTTTGGCTAACCACCTACCCAGCGATGGGAAGATCTTCCCATCGATGGGTAAGCGTTCCCTTAGCCAAACCAACTTCCAAAACCATGCCAAACAGCGATGGGAAGTTCTACCCATCGCTGTTAAAGCCTTGGTGTAACATTAACACAAGGCAGAACGACCTTGCCCAGCGATGGGAAACCTATCCCATCGATGGGAACCCAGCGATGGTAAGGGTATACCATCGATGGGTAGGCATGACCGTTGGAAGTCATTTAAGGTTGATTCTTTCCTTGTTTGGAAGTCAACCTCCCACCCAGCGATGGGAAGCTTGTACCCATCGATGGGTAGGCAACCGTTGGCTTCAAAACTGAAGGAAAATTGGCTTACCAGCGATGGGTAAGTCTCTAACATCGATGGGAAGCCAATATCCTGAAAATCCCAAATCTTTTCAATCCCATAAATCAAGCAAATCACCCCTTTAATGCATTGGTCCATTGGAGCCCATTTTTGCACTATAAAAAGGGATGTTTGGGTCTGCTTTTCTCACAAATTCACTTCACAATATTCATACTTTCATTGCATTCAAATAACATCACTTTCCATAGCTTTCTAGAGCCAAATTGTGTGAAGATTGAGTCGTTCTTGTTGAAACACGGGTTTATCACCTTTTCGTACTAAAGCCGTGTTTGTTCTTATGACAGGTTTTGATAATGCCAAACCGTCGTGATCAAGACAAACATTGAATATACAAAGAGAGGAATGAAGATAATGAACAAGAGCTAAAAGAGACCAAGAACGAAGACCGCAGTCTTTAGTATTGTTGAGTCGGTCATAATTGTAATCAAGACCGACCAACCCTCACGCATTGGCTCTTTAGGCTAAAACCTTTTACTTCATTTCTTACATTATAAAAATGTTTTTCAAACTTTTTTAAGTCATTAAAAACACTTGGTGTTCGCCCAAACCAAAAACCAAGCCATCCAGCGTTCGGGTTTCAGAAACCGGCGTTCGGCTCTCGGTTATCGGCTATGGTTTTTGGCGTCCGAACCAACAGAGTGGTTTTCAACTTTTTATGATTTTTTTTCACTCTTTGGCATGTTTAAACGGTTCTCCAACAAAAACACTTCGAAAACCATCTTTCGCTTTTGGTCGTTTGACAAAAATCATTCAAAACGGCATAAACTTGGCTAGCCGTGGTTTTCACTCAAATGACGTGGTTTTTAAAGTGTCTCACTTGATTTCTTAGCCAAATACATCAAATAAGTTTTTTAAATACTTGGTTTTTACTTTGGAGAACTTTGTATTTTTCGGTCGGGTTTCAGTGCCGGTCGGCTAAGCCATGGTTCTGGGCTAGCCATCCACCCAGCGATGGGAAGATCTTCCCATCGATGGGTAAGCAGTCCCCCAGCAAAACTGACTTCCAGAACCATGCAAAACAGCGATGGGAAGTTCTACCCATCGATGTTAAAGCCTTGGTGCAACATTACCACAAGGCAGAATGCCCTTACCCAACGATGGGAAGCTTTACCCATCGATGGGAACCCAGCGATGGGAAGGCTTAACCATCGATGGGAAGGAATGACCGTTGCGAGTTATTTAAGGCTGATTCTTTCCTTATTTGAAAGTCAACCTCCCACCCAGCGATGGGAAGCATCTACCCATCGATGGGTAGGTGACCGTTGGCTTCAAAACTGAAGGAAAATTGGCTTACCAGCGATGGTTGAGTCTAAACATCGATGGGAAGCCAATATTCTGTAGATCCCAAATCTTTTCAATCCCATAAATCAAGCTAATCACTCCTTTATTGCATTGGTCCGTTGGAGCCTTCTTTGGCACTATAAAAAGGGGTGTTTGGGTCTGCTTTACACAACCAATTCACTTCACAATATTCATATTATCATTGCATCCAAATCACATCATTTTCCATAGCTTTCTAGAGCCAAATTGTGTGAAGTTTGAGTTGTTCTTGAGCGTANTTAGTGTTGTATACACGTTAAGGGAAGCTTGTTTCCCTTGGTTGTACGAAGGAAAGGTATTTTCCTTCGGGTTGAAGTCTTGGAGTGCGGTATCTCCGAGCAAGTGTTGTTGAGGCTCGTGGGACTCGAGTTCTCAGGTTGTAACGGTTTGTTAAGCACCCGTAAGCTTAACGGAAGTAGTGTAGCTCGAGAGAGTCTCTCGGGAGACTGGACTAGCCACACGTTGTGGTGAACCAGTATAAATCTTAGTGTGCTCCCTTTACTCCTTTTTATTCTGCTCTTTACTTTATCCCTGCGATTTTTATTCTGCGAAAATTTATAAACATTATCGTGCCTCACTATTCACCCCCCCTCTAGTGAAGGGCACTTATTCTAACAATTGGTATCAGAGCCTAACTCGCGTCCAAACTTAACCGTTTGAGAGTAAAGCGATCATGGGTTCTTCTTCTAGAAATTTGTACGCAGAAATAGGTGAAGGACAATCAACCACACGGCCACCTCTTTTTGATGGAACCAACTATACATATTGGAAAGAACAAATGAGAATCTATATTCGTTCCACGAACTTCCAATTATGGTTGGTTATCAAAAACGGGGAAGAGGTGCCAATGAAGAAAGTTGGAGACAAGTTGATCCCCAAGACCGAAGACGAGTTTGATGCCGAGGACATCAAAAAGGTCGAGAACTATGCAAAGGAAATAAACATGCTTTATTGTGCCGTAAATCCTGATGACTACCGCAAGATTTCCTGCTGCTCAACCGCCAAGGAGATGTGGGATAAGTTAGAGGTGACGTACGAAGGAACGGACCAAGTACGTGAAGCCAAGGTCGACTTCCTCACCCAAGAGTATGAGATGTTTAGGATGAAGGAGCACGAAAAGATCGACGACATGTTCGACCGCTTTTCTAAGATAGTCAACGATCTTCATGCATTAAAGAAGACTTAGACCGACAGGGATCTTGTGCGAAAGATCCTACGAAGCTTGACATCCGAATGGCGATCTAAGGCCGATGCCATCTATGAGTCAATCGGCACATCAAATGTCACCATCAACAGTTTAAGAGGTAACTTAAAAACATATGAATCTACTATACTTAATCCGTCTTTGAATGACCAGAGAAAAGGCATAGCATTAAAAGCCTCCAAAGAACCGACAATGAATGACTCAAGCGACGAAGATGAAGTCAAGCTCATCATGAAGAAGTTTTGCAAACTTCTAAAGAAAGAGAAGGCTGAGGATGGCCCTGTGTGCTTTGGATGTGGTGAAGCCGGGCACATCAAGAACAAATGCCCAAGAAACGGAAGAAATGCTCGTCACTTCAAAGAGCAAAGAGCATACATCTCTTGGGGTGGCGACTCCGGCGATGAGTCAAGCGAGCAAGAGGAAGACGAGGAAGCAAACCTTTGTCTCATAGCTCAAGAAGAAGAGGAGTCCGCCAACGACGAAAACCAAGAGGTATGTAATTCTTCTACCGGTTCTTATTCTCTTGAAGAAATGCAAGAAGCTCTCCAAGAGCTTTATGACGAGTTTGCTAGCGCTTCTAAAACCAACAAAGCTTTAAAGAAACGTTTTTCTAATCTTGAAACTGAGTTTGAAAAACTTCAAAAGGAAAACGAAAAACTAAAAGAGGAAAATAAATTTTATGGTAAAAGAAGCGCCGACAAACCCGAGAGCTCTACGAAAAAGTGTGACACTTGCATAGCTTTGAAAGAACAAGTCACAAAACNCCACCTAGACAACCATCTAAGGTTCAACGTAAGAAACCTAAAAATCAGGATAATAGAAAACCTAGTCAACCTAAGGACACTAGACAACCTAGACTAAAACCTAGGAATGAAAATGTTCATGGTAGACAACCTAAGAAAAATAATTTTGTGCATAATAATAATTTTTCTCAAAATAGGAGAAATAATATGAGGACACCTAGAAATGGTTCTTTTGAAAATGTGCATAAACCATCCTTTTCTCACAATAGGATGAATATGGTTAGACCCCCTAGCTATTATCAACCTAGGCATATGTTCAACCCAAACGTAGTATGCCATTATTGCAATAGGGTAGGACATATAGCTCCCGTGTGTTTTACCAAACATAGGCACTCCACCTATAATGAAACACACAACATTTTTTGTGCTAACGAAAAGAAATCCTTTAGAAAAGGATATTCGTATCATAGGCAATCTCCACAGGAAAGTGCACAAAAGAAACCGTATTATTTCTTCTACTTTGACGAAAAGAAGAAAGTCCACATTCCGTTACCGGAACCAACACAGACCACACCGAGATATCGGCACTCCGTTCGGGTAGACTGGAACCCGCCAACCCCTAGACAATGGGTTGGCCAAGGTAACTCCTAAACAATCATTTAATTGTGTGTGTGTGTGTGCGAATTTTGGGTGTGTGTGGGCAATAAAGGTCAACTAACCCCCAAGGACCGATAGACATACTTTGGGTACCAAAGTGTTATTCTTTTTTGCAGGGATGGTTCAAAGTGAAGAATTATGAAAATCAGGGGGAACCAACGATGGGTGGGCAATACCATCGCTAGGAGGGAAGTTTTCTTTTTTTCAGAACCCCTCTTCCCATCGATGGGTGCTTCTTCCCATCGATGGGTAATTGACTCTATTTTTTAAAAACCTTTTAACGGATTTCCAGAAATACCTTACCCATCGATGGGTATTTCATTCCATCGCTGGGTGAAGGACTTTTGTCGATTTTTTTTTTAAGAAACACCCTACCCATCGATGGGTCTTTTATCCCATCGCTGGGTGAATGATTTCAGTTTCAAAAATTTTTTCAGAACCTCCCCACCCATCGATGGAAACTTTCTCCCATCGCTGGGTGTTTGACACTATTTTTTTAAGCGTCTTCTCGAATTTCCAGTAGCCACCTTCCCATCGATGGGTGAGTTCTACCATCGATGGGAAGGCAGCCTTGTTTTCTACTCACTTTCTAAACGCTTCAACAATGGCCAGAGGAAAGTCAAGGACCAAAACCGAGGCTTCAAAGAAGAAGGACAACACCGATGCCACGACATCTTCTTTATTTTCTCCTTATTAAATATGATTGTATTTTTATCCGTTGTATTCTGCATTTTCCTTTTAATGAATAAAAGTTCACTTTTAATTCTTTTTGTTAATGTCAAAAGGGGGAAGATATAAAGGTTATGCATAGATTTAGGGGGAACATTTTCTAAAACTAACTCTTATTCAACACATAAACTTTGTTGAAAAGAAAATCACATTTATTAAGGGGGAACATTTTTTAAGTCTGAAATCAATCCTCCTATGCATAACCCCGTCTTGTTTGCCATTATCAAAAAGGGGGAAATTGTTGAAACACGGGTTTATCACCTTTTCGTACTAAAGCCGTGTTTGTTCTTATGACAGGTTTTGATAATGCCAAACCACCGTGATCAAGACAAACATTGAATATACAAGGCGAGGAATGAAGATAATGAACAAGAGCTAAAAGAGACCAAGAACGAAGACCGCAGTCTTTAGTATTGTTGAGTCGGTCATAATTGTAATCAAGACCGACCAACCCTCACGCATTGGCTCTTTAGGCTAAAACCTTTTACTGCATTTCTTACATTATAAAAATGTTTTTCAAACTTGTTTAAGTCATTAAAAACACTTGGTGTTCGCCCAAACCAAAAACCAAGCCATCCAGCGTTCGGGTTTCAGAAACCGGCGTTCGGCTCTCGGTTATCGGCTATGGTTTTTGGCGTCCGAACCAACCGAGTGGTTTTCAACTTTTTATGATTTGTTTTCACTCTTTGGCATGTTT